GGTTCCGAGAAGCGCGGGCGGGCGGGCTCCGCGCGCACCTGGGCCGGGCCGGGGCCGCCGTCCCCAAGGCTGCTGTTGGGGGCAGTCGGTCTTTAAAAACTTGGCAGGTGCAACTTCATACAGAGCGATGCCTCCATTCGTGCTTATGCCTGATGACAAACTCAATGTATCGGATCCCTGTCCCCGGCTAGGGGTCAGAAAAGGCCAGTGTACAGCTCGGTCCCGCTCCCTCCCCCACGGCGTGTCCAGATGAAAAAGAGAGATTCGTGTTTTGGAGAATTCAGATGAAATAGTAATAATCCACTTAGCTTGTAGGATATTGACAATAGGTTCTCTGTTGCTGTCAGACAAATGACTAAACACTCAAATTCAGCTTTGAAACAAAGTATATATTTTTCTTGCCGAAGATTAATCTTAGTTTTTTTGCCTAAAGACTAATAACTAGTTTGAAGTGGCAGAGGTTAATCTGACATCATACGCTCGTAACGTAGCCGGCCATTTCTGAGCGGACAAGTAAATCATTGACTCTACACAATTAATTGCAGAGGCATATTGGTGCTATGGGACAATTTTAGTGTTAAAAAGTAACAATAAATAAATGGAGCTCTGTGACTTTGGGAAAGTTACTCTTCTCTGACTGTAGCTTTAACGTTGGCTATCTTCTTCAGCAGGTCGTTGTGAGGATTAAAATATATGTGCATTAAAATACAGGCATTTTATCTCCCTTAGCTTCTGGTTCAGTCGAAAAGATAAATATTTTTAATATTATTTTTCAATTATATTTGACATATAATATTGTATTAGTTTCAGTTGTACAACATAGTGATTAGACATTTATGTAACTTACGAAGTGATCACCCGGGTAAGTCTGGTACCCGTCTGACACCATCCAGATAAGACAGATCTCGATTAAAAGAAAAAATGTCTTAAACTGTATCATAATGTGATGTTATCAGCTGTGTTCCTAGGCAGTTCCTGCTTTTCAATATAAGAGATTGGTGATACACTGTACAGCAGCACATGGCATCCTCTGAGTATGCACCGGACCTGTGCACGGGTCTGGTGTTGGGAGTGAGTACTCAACCCCGGATGAAAACTCTTGGTTGTAACTTTAATAGGAATCAGAATCCTTTACCATAACGTGTCCAAGTTCCAGCTCAGTTTCAAGTTCCAGCTCAGTTTGTATGTCTTGTTTTCTTCAAACCTCCCCGGTTGGATCCTATATTTCTATATTTAGTTCTAGATCTTTAATTTCCACCAGTGCTGCTGGTTCAGTAAACCATTTTGCATGTACATTGATAATATTGGGTGAAATTTTCTCTTATCTCACTATAACACACACTAGAGTAGTGGCTTTCAAAGTCTTTTACTGCAAACTCAGTAAGACATGCCTTTATCTTGCAGTACAGTATGTGTGTGTGTGTGTGCACATATACACACTGTATGTGTATGTATGGTTTCATGAAGATATTAACCCTTATTACGGACTGTATATTCTCATGTTTTTTTCTATCCTATTTTAATTTTTAAAAACTTGATTTCTTATTGCAGTTATGAGTCACACCCCACACATCATTCAAAAGACTAATTCTGGTTTATTGGTTTCATTTTGGGTGCAGCATAAGACGGAAAAACTAAAGAAACTAGAAAATATTTGAGGAACGCTTGAGATATACATGTTTATGTTTCCATGTGAAAAAGAACTTTGTAATAACTAGGGCTTCAAATTGGAATATGCTACTTGAAACAGTTTAACCTCGTTGAATAAAGAAACTGAATAAATCACTCATGACTGAGAAAATTTACACATTGGGTAGAGAGTTTACATTTTCTAAAAGTTCTCTTCTAGTGCTAATACTTGCTTTGTTTTTAGTCTGTGATCTCTGCCTAGATGTTTTGTTACACTGGAATTTTATGAAATCAGATATTTTTTTAAATAAGTTTTTATTGATTTTAGTGAGAGAGGAAGGGAGAGGAAGATAGAAGCATCTATGAGAGAGAAACATAGATCAGCTGCCTCCTGCACGCCCCCTACTGGGGATCAGAGCCTGCAACCGGGGTATGTGCCCTGACCAGAATTGAACCTGTGACCTCTTGGTACTCTGGATGCCACTCAACCAACTGCGCCACACTGGCAAGGCAGGTCTTGTTTTTTAAATGGGCCATTCATTATAGGACTGTTTTGCCCAGTTCTTTGTTGTAAGGGTAGTTGACCAGTTGAATCATATGCTATTTTTTAAACTCTATACTAAACTGCAGATTTAATGACACTACATTATGATGATACTTATCTTCATTGAGTGTGTGTGTGTGTGTGTGTGTGAGAAGAATGAAGAAAACAAAGAACAAAAAAGTACAAGGTTACTGTTCAATCAATATAGATAACATTAAAAGATTAAAGATTAAAAGTAAAAGATTAAAAATCACTAGGTTTGTGATATAGTCAATAAATTTCTCCTATTGTAACATTGGACTGTTCCTACGGTTTATCCTGACACTTCAGAATCCAAGATTAATTAAAGAAATGGTTTCTAAATTGGAATTCACCAGGAAAGCCTTAAGTATGCAAATGAGCCATCCTTCCAAAGGAAAATTTCATCCAATTCTCCCATGATTTGAACCAAAGCACTCCTGATAGAATTGTTAACTTCCAGTCCATCCTGCTGCCTCAGCTTTTACTAATTTTTAAAAGAATATTGACTTGTAATTGTCTGGAATAATTATCAACTAATTTTTATTTATGGTCTTAACTTGAGTATAAATATGCTTTCTGTAAAGATAGACCTTGTGAATTGAATCCATGTGGGTTATTGTATTGTTGTGGATTGTAAATCTTAACGTAAGTGACTCTGAGCTCTTCAATTGATAAACCTGTTGTCCCTTGTAATTATTTGTACCAAGATATAAGCAGTAAAGTGAGTATATCAGTTTTTATCATAAGCAGTCATAGATAGTTCAGAAGTTTAGTCTCTGTTATTGCTATTAGCAAAGTGCTTTTGCAATTCAGGGACTTTTTCTAGTTACACCTTTATTTTTTCATTGATTGTCCACAGAATGCAAAGCACTGTGCCCTTGGATATTTATAAGGCAGTGATTTCAAACTGCTAGTGTTGCCCATTAGTAGTCATAAATCAATTTAGTGAGTTATGGAGCAGCATATTTTTTTCTAATTAATAGATGCCATTAGAATGTGCCTGGCATGTAGTGAACATAAATATTGTTTTATAAATTTTCTATTATGTGTATGTAGGTCCTCACTATGTGAATGTGTGCCTTACTTTGGACCACTATCAAATAAGTTTGAAATATACTGACATAAGAGATAAAAGAATATAAACACTTGAATGAATTTATAACATACTGTAATGTTAGTGGAAACATTTTATTTTTTTATATGAGAAAACGTTGAAGACAAATTGGAGGTCTACCTAAGTGTTAGGAAATGACATATGGATTGACATTCACTTGGCTGTGGGATGTGTCATACTTTAGAGTACATAATTGCTTGGGATGCTTGTTAAATAAAAGTTCTGCCTTTATAGTGATTAAGCAGGTCTACTATGGGACTCAGGAATTTTAATGTACAATAAACACCACAGGTGAATCTGATGTAGGAGTTCCTCTGGCCGCATTTAGGGAATCACTTGTTTGTCTTTGAGAAATTTAACATAGTGGTTAATATTAATTCTAGTCAGGCTGCCTGGGCTTGAACCCATGTTTCTCCATTATAAACCTTATCTTTTTTTTTTTAAATCCTCATCCAAGGACATTTTCATTGATTTTTAGAGGGAAGTGGGCGGGGAGAGAGAGAGAACATCAACGTAAGAGGAACATCGATCATTTGCCTCCCTTACATGCCCCAGGCCCAGGGATGGAACCCTTAACCTAGGTAGTGCCCTGACTGGGAACGGAACCAGTGGCCTTTCAGTGTCCAGGATAGCGTTCCTACCAACTGAACCACACTGGCCAGGGGTATAAACTTCATTCTTTTTTCTTTTTTTTTAAATATATCTTTTATTGATTTCAGAGAGAGGAAGGGAGAGAGAGNGTCATTCTTTTTTCTTTTTTTTTTAAATATATCTTTTATTGATTTCAGAGAGAGGAAGGGAGAGAGAGATAGAAACATCAATGATGAGAGAGTCATTGATTGGCTGCCTCCTACACTCCCCCTACTGGGGATCGAGCCTGCAACCCGAGCATGTGCCCTGACTGTGAATTGAACCACGATCTCCTGGATCCTAGGTGTTAGCTCAACCACTGAGCCACGCCCAGCCGGGCAAACTTTATTCTTGATTTTTTTTGTTTGTTTCTTTATGGATGTTTTTATGTCTCAGAAGTTTAGTTAAATTTTTATTGGTGTAAAATACTTTAAAAATAATTAGATTACGGGTTTAGGTCATCAACATTTGAAAATTAACAGTAGGATAAAATAGATATAAATTTATCTTTGTTGAAGAAAACAACCTTATAGAACTAAAATTTTGGTTTGTATGGTATTTCCTATTGACACCTTTTTCCTATTTATCAGACAAATACATTCTTATCATATAAATACAGAAAAGTGTATAGAGTTTGATTAACAATTTCAAAATGCATTCCTTTTGCAGCTTCGAGATTGTATCCAAAAGACCTTGAATGAGTGGAGCTCCCAAATCAGCCCTGATTTGGTCAGGGTGAGTAACATGTGGGTCAAGAAATGATGTAGTCCAAAAGGGAAGTGAAGTAAGCAGGAAATTAATTTCCTCAGTCTTGATAGGGAAGTCAAGTAGATGATAGCATAAAACTCCCTGTGGCGTATATGCTGAGATGCAGCCTGACTCGGTAGGCTTAAGCATAAAACAGAAAATCTAGACTGTGTGAACAACTCTTCAACTAGACCGGACACTAGAATTCTCTGTGCTAATTCCTGTCAGAGTTTCCTCATAATGTATTTTGTTCCAATTTGTATTTGGCCTGATAAAGGAATGACTATTATTAATCAGTTTTGTTTGATGTATTGCTTTGGTAGAGGATCACCCCAATAATATAGTCACTAAAAATAATTTTTAAAATGTCAGTTTCTGCTGAAACAGTAAGGAACTGTGTTTCACTAAATGTCAATATATGACTATTATCATAAATGTTAATATACAGAACATCTGTCTGTAAACCACTTTTTGGGATCCAACTCAGCCAAAGGTATATAACAAATTACATAGACTACTTTAAAAGAATGGACATACTTGTTCCCTTGGGCATATTGCAAATTTTATACTCAATAGCTGCTAGACATGCGTTGATTAATGTCTTCTATCAGTCTCTGTTTCTCTGAGATGACCATTTACTCTGTTTATGTCTAGTAAATAGTTACTGCTCCAGGCATTGTAGTAATAAGCTCAAGAATTATGAGAAAGGCCTCACTGTTTACTTTGTTTTAATCTTATAAATGTGAGTTAATATGTTTCTGATTTATATGTGCTAACATTTTATTTTCCTTATAAATTATTCATTATGTATTGGAATGACTTTTACTTTTTTTTATTGCACTCAGAAAAAATGTTTTGGTTTCCAATGTTTGTGATTAATGTAGAAAGTTTTTAACATATCATTATCCAGAATGGATAATGCTATTTTTCATTGGTTTCTTCTTTAAGTAAAATTATCTACTGTCCTAGTGCTTGTAACTCCTTACAGGCCTCCCGCCCCCCATTTATTTGTGTGTTTTTTAATCTGAGTACCTGATCAAAATGAGACATTTTTCCCAGAAAATGGACACACACACACACACACACACACACACACACACACAGTGTTTTACCTGTATTTCAGAGCTTTGCAAACCTAATGAAGCCCATTCAGACCTCAGGTAAAAAACCATCTTATTTGTGGGTTCCCTGCTGCTTTTAGAGGGCATTATGGACAATAGAAAATATATAGCTAATCAGAAACATTTTATATTTATTGTAAACATTGTGTGTTTATTATAGGAGTTTCCAGATGTCTTGGAATGTACTGTATCTCATGCAGTAGAAAAGATAAATCCCGATGAAAGAGAAGAAATGAAAGTTTCTGGTAAAGTCTAGCCTTTCTAATTCATTGTGTTATACAATAGAAGTGATAGGTTTGTCGAGCATGGGAATAAGCCTTTCTTTGCTTCGGCTAATGAGTGACTTAGTCATCAAGTGTGGGGTGTTAATGTCCACTCTTAGAGGGAGTTATAATGGGTCAGTGTTGGGTACTTCGGTGGTCACAATAGAACTTTACCTTGCTGTTCTTGGCAGTCCTTTTTATTCATTTATATTTTGGACTTCAGAGCATTGGGAAGATTAAGCTGGAGAAAATGGAAAGAATAAAGGGAATTCTTGAGAACATTGTCTACCCAAAGCAGGCATAAGCTCTCCCTTCCTGGTGGGACACTGCCAAACAATGGCTGAGATGGCCTGGGAGTATAGAAAGAAGTCTGGGCAACAAGTTACATGAGAGAAATAAAATACATATTATACCCATTCAATAAATGTATCAAGTGACTACTTCCAGAGACTATGCTAAACTCAAAGAATGAGAAAATGAAAAGCTGCACTGTTCTTGCACTCAGCTTATAGTCAGCACAATGATGAAAAGCTTGAACTTGACTAGGTTGAAATTCCTGGGTGTGCAGCAGATTATTTACTGGTATAATCTTGAGCTAACAAGTTACTTAATCTCTCTGAGCCTCAGTTTCTTCATCTATAAAATGGGGATGCATCTGTTTCACAGACTTATTTGTGAATTACTTGAAATTACAAAAGAAGCACTTACCACAGTGCTTGGCACAAAGTTAAGTGCTAGGTAGCTATTATTTATTACCATTTGTGTTTGTGTTATGGTTGTTACTTTATTATTTGGGGGAGGGATGGACATATAAGATGAGATAGGGCATTGTCTTTTGACTCTAATAACAGCTACCATTTTTTGAGTCTTACTTTGTACCAGGCACTGTATTTGCCCTTTTTTATTATATTTCTTACAATTCTCAGAACAATTCTACAAGGTAGGTCTATTATCCCATAGCACAGGTGACATTAAATAACTTGAAAGTTGTCATACAGCCAGTAAGTGATTGAACCAGGAATCCATTCAGGGGTGCCTGACTCTAAAACCCATTTTTTTCCTATTAATTTCACATTGCTATTTGTATTGAAAAGGAAGTGAAAGCAGCATTTCTCAGTGGTTGATTGCAGTTCATCATGGTTTAGACGAATCTTGGAGCTATTATAAGTTGTCTTCAGTTCCCGGCAGGCTTGATAAATATCAAAATTCTCCCCATATGAACAGCTTTCTTCTCTCTACTTATCTAAAAATGCCTCTTCTTTCAAATGGCACACATTCATGGCCAGAGGGACTTTGGTGGGGAGAGTTTTTACAGAGTATAATTGTGGAGCTAAGGTTGGACCAAAGTGGTAAAGATTGACTCACCTGGTAGAAGAATTGTGCTGGCTTTTAAATAGAGAAGTAACATGAGGAAAGCAATGTTTTAGGAAGATTATCTAGCAGTAGAAAAGAGAGGAGAAATTTAAAAAAAAAATGTACAAGGAAAGTTTGTTGCGTATGTTGAACGCCAGGCACCTTATATAGGGTATTTCATTGGCCGGTTTCCTATCCATTCCCCTTTTGGATTCCCTCTCTTCCTTCTCTCCTTCTACATTTATCTATGTGAGTAAATTTAGATTTTTGAACAGTGAATTTACATAAAGTGAATATAGATATGTAAAGTTGAGTTGAAATCAAGCCAAAGCTATACTTTTATAAATTTAGAAAGCTACTCAACTTTCTTGGTTGAAGCTGAAGAAAGAAATGCCAATTAATGTGGTCCTAGGTAGGTATATATTGTACCTACTAAATTAGCAGATACATGTATATTTTTAATAACATATTTTTAATAACATTCTATATTATTCTGAGAACAACTCTTCACTTTTAGTAGTCTGGTAAAATTTAGGAAGTAAATAAAATAGAACAATATTCATACAAAAAAATCATATCCTTTGACTTAAAATCTCATTTTTGACAATTTGTCTTTGGGAAATGCTTCAGCATAATGTTGAATAAAAAGTCACCAAGATACTTACATTAGCATTATATGCGATAACAGAAACCTAGAACTAACCTAAATTTTCAAACAGTGGAAAATCATCTAGTAAATTATATCCTATCAGAATTACAGAATAATGTTCAACCATTAAAAATGAGTATGGGGAGAAGGGGATATAAGCAGGGGAAGTGGTGAGGGAAGGAGACTGGACTTGGGGTGGTGAACACACAATACAGCATACAGATAGTGTATTATAGAATTGTACACCTGAAACCTATGTAATTTTATTAACCCATGTCAACCCAATAAATTCAATAGAAATAAATGAGTATGTAAAATTATTCATTAAGAGTACACCACACAGAGAAATGTAAACAATAATTGCTTTTGGTGGTGACACTATTGGCAATTTTTTTTTTGGTCTTTCTACTCATTTTAAGTTTACCTTACTTCTGGAGTGAATACATTATTATGATAAAAAAAATTAAGATAACTAAATACTGCATAGAGATATTAAAAAAATTACATAAAGGTAAACCAAATATAACTAGGAACATTATACCCTGCTTCATATGACCAAGAACTAGAAGGTAATGTCTAACATTTAAAAAAAATTATTGAATTAGGAAGATAGGATTGTGTGTGGGAGGGGTGGGTTGTTTGTTTTCATTTTTCTAATCATTACAAACAATTTTATTTTAAGTATATCTTTATTGATTTCAAAAAGAGGAAGGGAGAAGGAGAGAGAGAGTTGAAACATCAATGATGAGAAAGTCATCATTGATCGGCTGCCTCCTGCACGCCGATCAGAAGATCGAGCCCTCAACCCCGGGCATATTCCCTGACCGGGAATTGAACCTCGATATCCTGGATCCTAGGTCAATGCTCAGCTGCTGAGCCACACCCATCCGGGCCATTACAAACAATTTAAATTTAGTCTATATATAGATTTTAGTTTATTGGAGAAAGTAAATAATATGCTCCATTCATGTTTAATTCATAAAATGTACTTTTTGGGTAATAAATTTCTATATCTGAGCTGCCTTCTAACAAATGGGTAGTTGATATTTGCTTTTTTCTTTTGACAGATATTTGTTGGCAACTGGCATATAATTTAAAAATTACAATGGAAATACACTTTTATTTCTTAAAATGAAAACTATAAAATTACATTACTAGGAAAGAAAAAAAAATTCAGGATTATCTGTCATCTTAGTATTGTTAGCAATGTTAATACTATGTAGCAGAATGTTACCCAAATGTAGTAATCAGTTTTTGTTTCCTTTGTTACCCAGCAAAACTGTTCATTGTAGGATCAAACTCTTCATCATCAATTAGAAGTGCAGTTGACATGGGTAAGCAAAATGTTGACTTTTAATCTTTATAGCAGACTTTAAATTAGTGTAGGTGTATTAGTTATATCTTATGTTCAGGTCCACATAAAAAAGAAAATGAACTCATTCCAGTTTTACCTTTTAGAGTTCTAGGCGAATTTCCTAAGGCTTCTATAGAATCATACTAACTTTTGTGGGGTAATATTTTGATATATAAGAGGTATATAAAAGATGTAACATAATTAAATGTTAACTATGTGTTTGGAGATAGAAATTCTCCTTAATCATATTCTTTTTTTTTTTTTTTTTTAATATATCTTTTTTGATTTCAGAGAGGGGAAAGGAG